TTACAGGGGAAAATTAAGATAATTATAGAGGTTTAAGTAATGAAAGTTAGAAAAACAGAAAATTGATGCTTAATTGGCTTAATTAATTAATTAGTGAGGCGTGATTAGTGGAGTGAGGTGGAGAAGATTCGTATTGAAAGGGTGAAGATGTGAAGATACAGGAAAAGGTTGGTCAGAAAATGGAGAGAAATAAAGTTAATTAAAAGCGATTAAAAGAGGGGGAAGGAAAAATGAAGCGAGAGAGAAGAGGATTAGTGCATAAGAAACTAGAGCTATAAAGAAGACTAAAGCCAAAGGAATTTTAGGAATCAGACAATTAGGGTATGAGGAGTGGGAGAAATAAAAATTTAATCAAGCTATAAAAATGGAGGAAAAAGAAGGGATGGTGGGGAAAAGATGAAGGGTGTTATTAGAGAGAAGACGTTGAGATAAGAAGAATGCAAAAAGAACTGGAGAGCTAGGTCTATAAGGAGTGAAGATATAAGAGTTTGAAGTTTTAAAATAAAATTAATATAAAACTATATTAAAAAAGTGAGGGGGGCTAGTATTTTGAAATTATTAAGAGATAGGTTTTAGGAAAGGGTAAAGTGAGTAGGGTAAGGAAAAATGGGTCTGATTAAGTTTTGAGTGTTAGGGGCTGTGGAATTTGAGAAATAAAACGAAATTAAACGTAATTAAAGGCAATTAAAAATGTTATATCCAAGGATCTAATCGGAAATGAGTTGAAAGAGATACTTGATATTAAATGGTAGACCAAGGGCTGTCTATTGCTAAAAATTTGGAGAGTCTAGGATAGGACAATTTATCTATCTCCGTAAAATAAAAATAAAATTTATGTTTTACTAAAAAGATTGTCTGTTTTGTCAATTACTGCAAAATACAGTACAGTCTTATAAAATTGGAGGTTCCACCGAGATATTGGAAATTAGGAGTGCAATTATCAATTTCGATGGTGCTGGGCTGCTAATCCCAGGAAGTTGCTGAAATTTTGAGAACAAGTTTGCTAGTATCAATTGCCGAGTTTGTTTATTTCAAGGAGAAACGGATTTCAGAAGTCTGAGGCTTTAAAGCCAGTTTTTGAAGCAGATCATTTAAAGGTTATCTTTTGTGTTTTTACAATTTGCGTCCGAGAAAAGAACTGTCAGAACAGGATATTGAACAGGATATATTGTCAGAACAGGATACTGATCTCTGAAGATAAGATTAACTTTTGGTTTTCATGAAAAAGTGTTTATTGAATTTAAATATTTCATTTCAGAATTATATTTAAATAGTGTAAGTTTCTGGGTAAAATAAATGATACTAAAAATGGTAGTAGGAGTAATTTGTAATTGATATTTGTGGTAAAGAAGTATTTAAAAAATTTATTATTTAGCCTTTACTGTTATTTGTTTTCAATTTTTATATTGGTAATTGATATGTGTAAGCCATCCCGGTATTTATATATAAAAAAAAGAACGTTTATATATATAGAAAGACGGTTAGTTAACGGTTATGAAATGCCTATTCTTTGACACACAGGAACCACAGTAGATGTTATTTCTCGAAAATACATACATAACGCAAAAATGACTGGAGAACATGTCTGGATACAATATCTATTAAATGACCATTTAGTGTGTCTACTGTTAGCTAAAGTTGAAATTAATTGTGAACTTGATCATATAAAGACAAAGGCAGCTGTTGTTACAAATGATCCTGGCAGATACGTATTGGGTAACAAAACTGCTCCGTTGTTCAAAGATAAACAATTCTTAAATTTAGAAAGGATAAATGCGGTTTTGACCCGATCTCAAGTAAAGAAATCTCGTGATGAAGTTCGAAGTAGAGACATCGAAATGGAGAAACTAGAAGACTGATGAAGATATTTTATTGTAAGCTGATGAGGAAGAGAAGGAAATTAAGAAAGTAATTAATGTTACTTCTAAGGAATTAATTGAATCTCAACATCAAAGCAGAGATCTAGCCTCATTGCTTAGCAAACCTAAAAATGAAAATTACCGCAAGACAAATGATTTCAAAATAAAAGAAGACGAAACGAAAATAAATGATGAAAATGAAAATAGATAAAAATGGAAATGAAAGGGAATTAATTGTTATTCTTCAAATATATAGGGTTCAAATGCAGAACTATACGTCTTTGATACAGAACCAATTAAATAATAGTGCTAAAACTCAGCGTAATTTGGTCAATACTCACCCTCCTAATAGTGAAGCTTTTGTCAATGCTTTAGAGAAATCTGACCGACACTCTAAGCATTCACCTCCTGGTGTGAAAACTGAAGTTATTGATATGGAAGCTGACTCACCTTATTCACCTGGTGATTCGCCTTTTATGGATAGTGTGTGTGATTATTTCTTTACAAGTTACCCAGTTCTTGCTTCTCCAAAAGAACACAGGTGTGTTTGACAGGTTGTTAACAGCAGATCAAAGAACTTCTGATAAAAGAACTCGTGAAGGTGGTTCTAAAAGCTAAGAAATTAAAAATACGTTCAGAGTCTACGTCAGAAAACTTAGCAAAGAGGCACAGACATGATAAAGGATATTCAAAGTTGCCACATTCAATGAGAATGCAAGTAACAGATAAGAACAAATGTTCATCTCGCAAGAAGCAAAAACTATATGACAAGAAAGAACTGACAAAATTAAACGATTCTCAGTTAAAAATTCTGGATGAATTGCTAAATTCTGCAGTTGATACGCAAGTCAAGGAGAAGTTTTTAAAGGAACTAAACAGATAAGAGCGATTTGTTGAAGAAGTAAAACTACCGCAAAAGCCTCTATTACACTCACTCGATTACAATAAGGAGTTTATTTTGCAAGTTGGTGTTTCAGACTCTGGTATGGGTGCCATTTTAGCTCAGAAAGATGAACGTGACAATGCACATCCAGCATTTCCTCAGTAAGAAGTATACAGAATCCGAAAAACTCTACCACAGAAAAGGAATGCGCCGCCATAATATTCGCTGTAAAGAACCTGCAATATTATTTAAATGGGTATACTAAATTCCTCATCATGACCGATCATAATCCCCAGTTTGGCTCAAAAATAACGTGAGTCTAAATCCACGACTTATGAGGTTGGCACTACTACTACAACTCTACAATTACACGGTCGTTCATCGAAGTGGTAAAACCATAAAAATGTAGACGCATTAAGTCGTACTCCCTAGCCTGATTAAATAATTTATTTCCCTATATAGATAAAAAATATATTTTGTTCTTTATTATTTTCCTATATTACATTTAGTATTTCAATTATGTATTGTGTTGATAGTATGTTGTTTTGAAAAAAATATTGTAAACTTTAATTTATACAAATATAAATTAAAGTTTATCCGGAGGGGGGAGAGGTTGTAATTTCTTATTTAATAAATAACGATATTTATTATTGAAATGGCAAGGCCATATTTGTATGATGTAACCGTCGTTTAGCAACGTAAGCAATTGTTTAAAATTTTAATTCTTTAGTTTTACCAGCTAGTTAGCTAGTACATGCATGAAAAATGAAAAATCTGTAACTAAAAGACTGTATTCAAATTATCTATCTCCGTAAATTAAATAAAATTTAAGTTTTACTAAGAAGATTGTTAATTCAGAAGTCAAACAACAAAAATCAGCGTTATATTTTCTTGGATGATTGTCTGTTATTTTGTCAATTACTGCAAAATACATTACAATATATTTAACTCCAGATTTTACAAAGGTCAGGCCATAAACTGGAACCTCTAAGAAACTGTTAGCAACAGGGAAATATATCTCCTGCCTAGGGGTAAGCCACTATACCCGCGATAGTATTTAAAGTATCTGCTTTCAGTTGCTTACTTACTGTTATTGCCAGTTGTTTCGTTTCGCGTGAAGTGAGATTTTCTGAGTTAGCTTTCTCTTTAGATGCGATTCGCATTGCGTTGTGATTAACATTTTTAGTTGTCTGAAGTGAAACTGCTGATTATACTGTGAACAAACATTTGTACAAATATTTCTGTGGAACATTCCAGAGATCTGAAATATTTCTTTTGATAAAAATAAATTTTTAATAACCTATTATAAGACTTGTGCATTCAATCTCTTACAAACCCGTACGCAAGCTAGCAATATTTTTTAGCTTCTAGAAACTACTTTCAGATTTTATATGTCATGTAACAATCTAAGTTTAAAATTCTGTCATATGGATATATCCGTCATTTATCCAAATTATGTAAACTGAATAATCTTCATTAGCGATTTCAGCGCAATATTTGCATTCAGTTCTTGTACTATGTCATAGAAAAATAAAAATAAAAGATACTATTTACAAATACTCTGGTGGTTTGGAAATACAGTGGGTGATTGATTAACGAACATAATCCATTCCAAGATTATGTTCGCAATCCGAATTGTTCGTTAACCGATCACCGATTTACCACATATGTTAATGGGAATTCGATTAATTCGTTCTGCAGATCCTGAAAATTAAATTAAAAAAAAAATGTCAAGTATAATTTCTTAGTAAGTTTATTCGTTACAAATATAATACATACATATAGTCTTACTTATTAATCAGTCCTTTTCCTTTCTTTGGGCGTTAAAGAACATGTCCAATGTCGATTGTTTTTCTCTCTCTTTCAGAACTTTTAGGAAATGATTGATAGCAATGTCGTTGTAAAGATCAGCAACCCTATTGACATCAGTTTGGTTTGGTTGCCATTTTAAGCCCGTTGCTCTAATTTCGCTGAGTTTCTTGGTGTTCTTCATTCAAGATTTCTTGGAGTTCTTCTGCCGTCAGGTCATCTTCATGTTCCATTATGAGCTCTTCAATTCATCCTCGTTCACCTCCAATTCCAGATCTCTCGCAGTTGTTACAATTTCATCCATAATTTCAGGGGTGTCACTTTGATCACCTGCGTCTCCTTGAACAAGGGATGGACACAGCTTTCCTCAGGCAGAACCAGCTGTCGCTGAGTGATTTCTGACCACGCCTTTTCAATAAGACCAATAGCTTCGACAATGTCAAATTTTTCTATCCAAAACTTTTTAAAGTTATTTTTGAGGAGAATTGGCATACTTCAAAATATCGCCGAAACAGCGCACGAGTGTACAATTTCTTGAAACCTGCAATAACCTCTTGATCCATTGGCTGAATCAGTGAAGTCGTATTTGGAGGTAAAAACTGCACTGTCAGCCAGGGAAAGTCTATCAGCAAATTATCTTCAAGGTGCCCTGGTGCGTTGTCCAATAGCAGCAATGCTTTCAATGGCAAGTTATTGGTATCAAGGTAGTCCTTGATATTCGGGGCACAAACTTCAAATAGCCACTCTTTGAAAAGAACCTGCGTGACCCATGCCCTCTGATTCGATCTCCACATCACTGGCAGTTTTCTCTTAATTATGGAATTTTTTTTGAATGCTCTAGGATTCTCAGAGGGATAAACGAGAAGTGGTTTAAGCTTCATATCACCACTAGCATTAGCTCCCAAAAATAACGTCAATCGGTCTTTCATGGGTTTATGCCCAGGAACACTTTTCTCATCTTTCGTGATGTAGGTAAGGTTCGGCATGCATTTCCAAAACAAACCAGTTTCATCACAATTAAATATTTGTTGTGGACAATACCCTTCTTTTTCAATGAATTCTTGAAATTTAAGACTGAACCTTTCAGCTTCTTCTTTATTCTGCACTAGCAAACTAAACATGAATGACCACATGTTTAATGCCTGATCTCCTTTTAAACTTTGCAAACCAGCCAGTGGTAGCTTTGAATTCTAGCTTTTCAATTTCTCAAAAATTTCTCTAGCCTTCTCTTGAATGATGGCCATACTAGTTACATCTCTTTTCATCTCCCGTTCATTTATCCAAACTAAAAGCAAACTCTCCATTTTTTCATGGATGGCACTTCTTTGCTTCTCAGATGTAATTTTCGTTACTTTTTTTAACGGCTTGAGCCTTCTTGATGATATCTTTCTTAGTTAGGATTGTGCCTATTGTAGACCTGTTCAAGCCGTACTGCCTAGTAACATCAGTCATTTTTTGTTCACTCTCTACTTTAGTTAATAATCTCTTGCTTGGTTTTTATGGTGAGCACAGTTCTTGACACTCCACTCTTTTTAGGTCCCATAATATTGTCAGATTTTCAGGTTTTTTACTTCCTTGGTACGAAGTAAAATGGAAGTATTGTAATCGCGATAAGTTTCAGTCAGCATATTTTAACGAAAATATCCATTTTGAACGCTACCGAATGCAATTTAACGATGCTTTTGCGTGATATCTGTACGTTAGGACAGAATAAAAGACTCTTTTCCTCCAAAAAAATTATAAAACTGCTTTAAATTGAATTCTGAAGAGAATTTTTCCGTGGCGTCTGTACGAACGTATGTACGTACGTATCTCGCATAACTCAAAAACGAGTAGCCTCAGAACTTTGAAATTTTGTATATAGGACTGCTATAACATGTAGATGTGCACCTCGTATTTTGGTTGCAATCGGCCGCACCAAACGTATATAAATATATTTATATATATATCCACTCTGTTACCCGGCTCAGTGATCTCAGTTTCTTTATATGTGTTTGTAAATTGTACATTTTTTGCTTTAAAAATGATTGAATTATGTTGTTTTATTTTTCCGGTTAAGGTTTTTATGCCTTTTAGTAAATCTGTATGCAATATTTTTAGAATTATCAACAATTTTAAAAGTTGTTTAAGTGCCGCTAAGCCTAATAATTTTTTTGATGGCGGCCATTGCTTGTTTACATTTGAAACAGCAGACTAGTGGATTTGTTGCCAATCTAGAGAAACTTAGCTTCGCAACAACAAAGATAACGCCTTCATTTATTATTGCGAATTAAATCATGCTTAATCCTTTCTGGAATTTTTTCGAGGAAATAAGTGTTTAAGATTTACTTCGTAATTTTTAATACAGATATTTTGAGTTTTTATGTATTTTTGCCTTGTCGCGAAGTGAGAACTGAATTAATTGAATGAGAAATACTCAATCGTCTGTGAAAAACTGTTTCCTTTTTGTTTTGTTTGCTTAATTTCTTTTATACATCGTTCTAGCTTTATTATAGTATTTGAATAGAACATGTGGCAACGATTAGATAATTCTTTAAATGATATAAATTTTGTGCATTCTGAGTTATAATATGAACGAAATATAATACTATTAAGTGAACCTAGCGCCAGAGTGTCGCTATGGTAAACAAATAGAGTGAATTTTAAAGAATGCATTTATTCTATTGTGGTTTATGCGCTGTCGGCGAAGTAGATTTAATTCAATCCAATAAGTTTAAATGAAATGCAAGAAAAAATGCGTATAATTTAATATTCCGTACAAGGAAGTTATGTGGTGTACACATCAGAATTTTTTAATAAGACCTTTAGAGAAGCACATACGAAAATCACAGGGACAGAAACCAACTATGGTACACAATTGACAAAGTGTCGTCGCACACTACCGTACGCCTCGTATGGTGCACAGGCGTCTAGCCCCTCAGATGCTAGTTTCCTCCTGATTCTTCCCTGATCATTTGCGCAGATTCACGCGCGTCGTGTTTACTCCAAGGAGCTCGGCGTGGTCAAAGCCGATTTTTTAAAAATGCCACGCGTTTAAAACGCTACGAACTCGGTGTGCATTACTGAATGTAAATTAATTTCATTTATTAGTTTTTCTGAAATAGTTTTCTTTTTAATTGGTATGCATATTTATTTGTTCAGATGTTTTATTATAAATCTATACATAAAGGAAGAATTCCTGACTTATTCATTTATTCACCTACAGATCATCGCCAAAAGCTATTAGAGATACAGATATCAAAACTTAGGAGCTTATTCCTTTTCTACCAAAGATGTCATTTAAGAAGCGATTTTTTAAGATTCGGTGGGCAAAACGTGTTTTTATGTTTTTTCATATAAGGAAGAAACAGATGTACATAAGATTCTTGTTTTAAAATGTATGGAATATGAATACCTAAAAACCAATTTCAAACGTTTTCAAAATTCGGCTCCGAAGGGGGGGGGAACGTGTTCTTCACATATTCCTTCATACCTCAGATATCCATAAGACAAACTTATGAATTATTGCTGTAAAATGTAAGGAATACGAATAAATGCTGACATCAACATGTGTGGGGAGGCGGACTGATTGGCATAAAATACAAGTTTACATAATGTACAAGTAAGCCTTATTAAAGGTACAGTACACAGGTATGTAAAGTGTAAGCTAGTTAGTATTAAAAAAAAACTTAACTAGCTTATTTCTGTTAATTTATTTTATGTTATTGATAATTAAAACCACCAAAATAAAAATGTAGCAGCATGTGGCAATTCACAAAACTGGTGATGTGATTTTGAAATTGTGATGAGATTGTTACAATGTTCAGTTAGTTTTAAACAATTCTACACATAATAAAATGGCCAGTGCACAACATGTGAATGTACATGGGGTTGAATAATTAGAAAATAAAAAACTTGACAAATATTAAATAGCAAGTATTAAATAGTAGAAAATATTGCTTACTGTTCAAATTTGGGATTTGGTAATAATCTATTGACTGAACAGTATAAAAGTCAATGAATGATTGATTGTATGGACAATATTTGGTATTGTTGGACTTGGGGGAAGGAAGACAGTAATGCAAGGAGGATGAACAAAAATAGAGTTAGTCATTAATCACAGAATACATCAGCCTATCACGAAGACCTGAGATAAAGGTTCAAAACCCTGTTCTGACTTTCTACATCTGTTCCTGATTATTTTAAGGATCAGAGTTGGAATTATCTTATTATTAAAGAGAAGTTCTGTAGAATGAGAGAGAGAGAGAGAGTATTATGTAAATAAGAAAAAAATATCGCGTAGAGTAGACTTTAAGGTACCCCTTGTATTATGGCGAAATTGTTGTTTGATTTATCGCCAAGTTGTTGTCTTATTTATGGTAGCCTGAGTAGTTGAATGTTATGGAAACCCTATTGTGACGTAATCGGGTGCATGATTCTGGGAAATTTTGAATCATGGGATGTTTTGTAAGCGTTTTTGTGGTGTGTGTTGGTTTGATTCTTAGACGGTAGAATGGCCGAATGTAGTAAGATTAATTTGAAGTTTCTGTATAATTTGGAGCGAAAGGGGAAAGAGCTTTAATTGACTGGCGTGTAAATGAAGATTTACTTAGTAGCCATTATAAGTGTCCTGTATGTAGGAAGGATATGCGTTTAGTCGAACGTAAAAACCGTTTAGATGGATTTGAATGGGCTTGTGGGAAGAAAGGTTCAGATGGTCACTATGCGAAGCGTTCGATCACAAAGAGTACCTGGTTTGAAAAAAGTCATTTGAGTATAATTGATATTTTGATTTTTACGTGGCTCTGGGTGTACCAAGCGAACTCGAAAATCATGGTAAGTGAATATTTGCTTTTGGTAGTGCTTAAATGTATAACATGTTTTTCCTTATGTTATTTTATTGTTTGGTTTAAAATGCATTTTATTGAGATTATACTATTTTTTTTTCCCCCTATAATTTAGTATTTGGTGCTCCTTTGACTTTTTAAGTAAAAATATATCGATGTGTATATGGACAAAGTAAAGGGAGTGCGCAATGCAAGTTTGTGCAATTCTGGGATTTTTTTTAAGTGAAAATAGGTCGACGTGTACATGGATGAAGTTAAAAGAGTGCGCAATGCCATTTTTGTGCAATTCGGGGATTTTTTTAAAGTGAAAATAGGTCGACGTGTACATGGATAAAGTCAAAGGAGTGTGCAATGCCATTTTTGTGCAATTCGGGGATTTTTTTTAAGTGAAAATAAATCGATGTGTACATGGATACCGAGTTTGTGCAATTATTTGTCTTGTTATTTTGGCTTTGTGTAGCGGCGATTTTTAGCGCAAAAATCGCCGCTTCGCAAGCCAAAATAACGAGTCAAAGAATTGCACAAAATCGGTACCCATGTACCGCCAAAAATCGCCAAGGGGTACCCTAAACCATACTTTTACCAAAATATCATCTGACACATATAAAACACTAATAGGCAGTTGAAAGAAGATGTTTTAGATGATAAAAATAGGTACGGTACTAATGACTATTGTTAAAATATATATTTTTCACTAGATGTGTTAAGTTTCTTCAGTGGAATTATGTGTAAAATTTTTGTGATTCAAAATAATTTTTAGAATTGTATTATTGTCTTCATTCTGTGAAGTTATTGTAGAAGTTTTTGTCAGTTTCCTTTTCGTTTTGTATTTGAGAATCTTTTGGGTACAGTCAAAAGTCGTTAATCCGGAATCGTCGATTACGGATTATCGATCATCAGTTTAAATCTGGTAAGATGGCATGCAGAAATTATAAAATTAAAAATATGAAGTCGTAATTTATGAAATAAAGAACAATTATGATCTAAAGGGTGTCAAAATTTACAAACAAACAAACAAACAAAAAAAAAAAAAAAGCTTAATATTTATTTGTTTACTTTATTAAACATTTCTTTCAGTAAGTTGTTTAAGTTGCTTCGTTTTATGTGATAATACTTTCTGTTTAATTCTATAAACAGACATAATTTCTTCTTCAGTTACAAAGTTCCGCTGTTCATGTCCTATAATTGCTGTGTCGAGAATACCGACTAATTTGTCAATCGAATTTTTTTCGCTTTCAATAACCTCTGTGTCCCTTTCTTCAATATCGGAAGCGAATTATAATGACGAGGAATTTGATTTAAATCAT